ATAATATATATATATATATATATATATATATATATATATATATATATATATATATATATATGTATATATGTATATACTTCCGCCGTAATTCGCAACTGTCGGTATATAACTCGAGGCGAGATTGAATTGCGAGCTTGTTAAATAGCAGCAATTCCGCCTTGATGCGTTTGCAATCGGTGTAACTGTATTGGCGTAGCGGCGGTGATCGCGCAAAACGAAGTAGCATTTCAGTGAAGAAGCGCGAACATTCTACGGGGAAAAGAAAAAAGTGAAATAAAAAGAAAGGCAGCGCGCAGCATCCGCATTGGAGTCATTTTAACTTGAGGATTGCGAGCTTGCGCGCCTCAAATATTGCCGACTCGCGACTCCGCTGCCAGACGTGAAAGAGAATGACAGAAGGAGGAAACGCCGAAGGGAAAAGGATACGGCAGGACGGGGGAGGGAGCGGAGGGATTCGAGACCGCGTACAATGCATAAAAGTAAACGTATGGAGCGTGAATACAGTTCGGAGTGTGATATTCACGATATGTATGCACGAGTGGTCACAACTCAGCACGTATACGAAACATTTATCAGGCTGTTATACGTGGCAGTCCATGAGTTTTCCAGATATTGCCGAAGCCGACCGTTTCGCGAAATCGATACAATTATTTGCGAGAAACACGGTACGATTTGCGTCACACGGGATACGTTCAGGATAGAGTGCCATTATCGAATTGATGACTAATCGAAAAATTTTTATAAAACTCTCATGAGATTCGATTTCTTCCGAGGTTCTTCTAGAAACATTTGAAATCCACCTTCAACATCTTAATTAATGATATTAAAACTTGAAAGCGCGCGCGCGCACGCAAAAGACTGGAATTGGATTTGATACGAAAAATTCCGACAGGAAATATAAAGAAAAACATTTATGAAAAGTTTAAGTACACAAAGTGATTGATATTGGCATTTCCTACGGAAAACATTTAAATAATGCAGCGATACGTCTTTTTATGCAAGCGATTGACCGATGCAAAATGTGCCAGTGGTTTGCAGCCGTATTGATCAGCCAACGCCGACGCTACTTCCGTTAATGCAGACACCGAGAGAACGCCGATACCGAAATTCTCCGTGTTACACATGGACCATTAATACTAGACGTATGGCATTCCATTACTATATTCCGAAATGTCTATCCCGACGGCTGAAGGCAATCGCGCCGTTATGACGTCTATTCGTCATCGATTACTGTTAAATTACCTGCCATCTCGAACGGACTACATTTACTAACAAATCGAACTTGCGAGAATCTTGAAAAGCGAACACCTGCGCCGCGTACACGTGTTTATTATTATATACAAAATATCGTTAATGTCAAAATATCATTAAGATAATTAATTTACGAGGAGAGAACGTAACGTACGTTTGTACTGACCTTTTACGATTATTAATATTAACGTGTTATTCATGTTGTAAATTCGAAGTGATTATAAATGTTATATTATTCGACTGTTGCATTCCCGTAATAATTTTCATATCATTCCATCTGACAGTGTCCACCCAATCCTGCGTCTTTGTAAAGCGAGTGGTATTTTATAATAATTGCGACGCGCATTAAAAGTAACGTACATATTAATTAACAAAGATTATGTTAATAGATTAGATTAAGACATTATATTAATAGGTTATATTTGCATATTGTCGCGTCGGGTTACGCTCAGAATCGCGTATATCCTGTAGATGTATGTATGTGTATGTGTGTATGTGTGTGTGTGCGCGCGCGCGCATCACCAGTCCAATGAATTCCCTTTTATCGATATTTCTTTTAACCTATAGTTGACCGGCTATTGCCCGTGCTGCGCGGGCCGATTGCTTTTTAAAAAATGCAGGAACCCGTTCGGACGGTTCAATGCCGTAAACGGGCCAAATGGAAAATAACGCGGACATGAAACGAGCCGTCGTGTGTGCTCCTCCGCCGAGCTAATTTCTCAGATTGCGAAAGCGCTTGCCCGGGCTTTATCGAATATCTATTTTCGCGAAGCTGACTGCGCCAGTAAAGAGGTGTAAAGCGTTTTTTTTTCAGAAATATTTAACACTAGCAACAGATCTGTTTTGCGAAAAGAGAAGTAAGGTTAAAACCTATCGAACGCAAAACCTAACATGACTCTCATAAACCCATCGATTCTGAGACATTCCGCATGAGATGCTTCTCACTCGCATATAAATGTGCAGTCACATTTCTTATAATAACGCTTATTACTATCAAGTGCGTTATAATTGTTATATACATACCATTTTTCTCGGAAGTCTCATCTCCAAACCATGTCTTTCGCGCGCGCGTCATCAACGGACTGATCGCGCCCTCTCTTTGACATTTAGCTTTTAATCTGTCGGTAATCAAATCCTGGTTCGAATACGCGCTAAACTAGAAGGCTAATCGCGCGCCTGCGCAAGATGGCATCATGGGTCCACTGTCGAGTCGATAACGACGTTATGACGTATCACCGTCCGAGTGATTCGGTGCGATGACAATTACGCATCGACCCAATGACGTGTCGAGCGATATCGATTACACCCACCTTTATTCGGGCAACATGTATCAGATTTGATCGCTGCCAGGTGAGATCACGGAGCGACGGAGTGACGTGCATCGTGCATTGGCAAAGGTTTCACCGTGTCAGCGACAGACGGCACTCTAAAAAGCATTCATCGTCCACGTTCGAATGGCAGAGGCGCATCGGCGACTGGTCACGTCGCGGCGCTTGCACGACCAATCGGCAGCCGCCGGTGCGTACCACGTGATCAAAAAAATCGAAATGGTGGACGTATCGGGACGCAGGATCCCGTGCAGAGACGAAGGACGATAAACCTGGGCAAGGGTCCGTCATCCGTGTCATCGGTGACCGTGTGTCAATTCCCGCGGCGGACGAGCGAGCTATCGCGTGAGTAGCCGCGGCTGGGAGGTGAATCGTCGCGATTTCGGAGCGCGTCGCGGCCCGCGGCCAGGCCGGTGTGCGCGTGCAAATCTAATTCATCCGACAGTGCCGATCGTTTACGCGTGTTTACCGAAGTGTCAATCCGCCCGTATTGTAGGCGCGCGTGTGTCTGGCATCGTCTCCCTCGTGCCTCCTGGACCGCCTGGTCGAGGGAAACGGTGGCACGATTAACGCGGGTGCGGCATTACCGCAAGTGAACCGAGTATCGTTCCGATTTTCAGTGTTCTTTGAAGCGAGAGAGCGAACGAGTGAGCGAACAAGCAAGCGAGAGAGAAAGAGAGAGAGAGAGAGAAGAAAGAGTGAGAGAGATAGAGTGAGAAGAAGAAAGAGAGAGGGACCCGCGAGCTGTGCGACTCTCGGAAAGCGGATGCGAAAGGGGAAAGAGATCGTCGTCGAGCCTCGAGGACAAACGGTAGCTTTTTCACGCGACGGCGGGCACCTGGCCCGCGGCAGCATGTCCGAGTGTTCGCGGGCCCCGCTGCTCCTGGAGGACGATGCGTCGCGACGTGGATCCTGCGACCGACGAAGGAGGTAAACACCGCCTGCAAAAGTATCGCAAGGTCGAGCGTGTGTGTATGCTCGCTCTTCGCGACACGAACGAGCGAAAGAGCATGCACGCATGCACGCCTTACAATGATACATTCTTTCGCGGTGATATCGCGCAACGGGTGTCCGCGATTAGCCTTGCCTCGGAAATTCCTGCGAATTTAAGCACGGTTTATCGTGCTGACGTTCGCGGACCGTTTCTGACGGCTGGCATAGTCCGCGACCCGTCAATCCGCGCGGCAGGATCGAGTGTTACTTCCACGAATGTCACAGAGCCGTCAACACCCGCTGACGGGACGAAGAGGAAGCAAGCGCGTATCGCGGAAACCAATCTCCTCGCGTTCCTTTGTAAGACGTATACGCGATCAATTTGTTTCCGATTCACCGAGAGCCCCTGGACCGCGACCGCGGACAGTATTCTCGGGACGACGATGTTTTTCTCGTCGTGACAAAGCGGTTATTTGTGTGAATGTGAGAAAAACGTCCAGAGTGGAAGAGATATTTTTAAAGTCGGCTGAATCAACTCTGCAGCGAAACACACATGTTTATTTATATATCGCGTTCAATGAGCTGAAGTGAAATTCTCTGCTGGCAGTAGATTTTATGACACAGCTTTCATAGAAAATGATTGAAAAGTCAATTATACTTATTGTTGCTTTTATCCGTATTCAAGCTTACGACAGACACAGTACTGGCCCAATGCTGGCTGCTGGACTTGTAGTACTGATGTGGTACTGGATAACAATAAAGGATCAGTATCGAAAGAATATTGGTGTTCTAACCAATATAATGTTATAACAATGTTACAATAATGTTATAACAATGTTATAACAATGTTATAACCACTATTGGCGATACAAAGTTTGTCAGTCAGAATAATAACAACATTTTACCAATGTTGGCCCAGTACTGGCTAGTACAACGACCAGGAGCATAACTATATACTAACTCTGGATCAGTAATGGCAGCTTGAATATTAATTCAATTGATTACGCTATTATAACAAGCCATTCTAATAACTGACTTCCTCCTACATGATTTGGTGTGCGTTCTATCTTGATGCTTATTTAAAATAGAAATGCATTTGTTCTATTTCTGCTATGTCCGAAAGAGAGACTATTATTGTATCTAAAATCAGGATTGATTTATTTGATTTATTACATGTAACCTGATTCCTCTTTCTATATTAACTGGAAATATCAACCATTTCCGTAGCATGATATTGGACATCTATAAATTTTAATTATATTGTGTGAATTTATAAATGATAATAAATACCTATAATGTAATTTATTGCCTGTAGTTTATATATAAACTTTGCATTAATACATTATGTATATTTTTTCAGATAAAACAGCTTTCTGGCTAAGAAAAAGCTTTGTGCAATAGATGAAAATGAGACAGCTACAATTGTAAACTATTGCAATAAATATGCTGAAATACTCCGAAGACACGAGAATAATTACAATACGCTGAGGAAGACCTTGGATTTTTTGTCAGAACAAGGAAATTGAGTTACTGCCTATCAACAAAAGCACACCCACGCTTGTTACCTGTTCAGTGTATGTCATGATAATAATTTTAATGGCTGTCAGGTTTCAATAAGCAGCTCGTACTAAGCACATGATATTCAAATAAAACGGCTCTCCTACAACTGCACAAATACTCCAACTCTTAATGAACAAATCAGGAACAAGGACCTATGAAATTGACTGAATCTACGTAAATCTAAAGAGAATGAAATAATTCTAATAACTCTATTTTATTACACTAATAATTATTAACCACAACGGTTGGAATACTCTACGATATTCTGTCCTAATAGATCACATTATTCTATAACGGACTTGAGGAAGACCTAAGAATAATTTGGAAGGGCTTTACAATTTCTTATTAATATGCTTTATGACCAGAGAAGATACTTGCAAATTTTTATTTTGTCAGATTTATTTTTAAAGCTTTGAGTGGATATAAATAATTAAATATTGATTAACTCTTGAGATTTAGCCAACTGGCAAGTGTAAACTTGGCAAGAGTAAACTGAATAATCCAAAATTACGACAAGAATATAGTATAATCAATGTGTGTAAATAAACATAAACACTGATATCATACCATTGCAAAAAGTTTGTGAAACAAAATGTATAATAATTATTTTAAACGCTTAAATGAGTGGTTGTATATAACGAGTAAGCAAAAAGAAGGGGAAACAACGTATTTGAAATACTGTATAGATGATAGAGGATATATTTGTTAATCCTCTTAAGTACAAGGTACGTTGTTAAGTTGTAGTAATCTAACTTGTAAAATGGAGATTGTTCTATTTATCAATTATGATCTCAGGGTTAAAAAATGGACAACAGTGCGTCTGGTGTAGTGCAAGTATTTGTGGGTGAATGGAGCCCTGAATATGAGGCACTGTCTATTAAAGCCACGAAACAGACTTCATCGGCCGAGATAGTGGAATGTATTATTGAAAGACTCAAGCTGGTTGACGCTTCTGTTTCGAATGGCTATGAATTAGCAGAAGTAGTAGGAAATTCTGTTGGGCAAGAATGCAAGGAAAGGAGGCTTGGTCCTACTGAATGTCCTGTGGCACTGATGTTACTGTGGCCGAAAAATGATACTCAGCAGGAGTACTACAGGTCTGTTAAATTTCGATATAATAATTACGTTTTACTGTTATATTAATTTCAGGTGATTTCTCACAAAATAATTTTTGCATTTAAACTTCCAGATTTTACTTACGAAAGAAGCAGCCAGATTATTTATGGTCTGACAGTAGATTTCCTATGGATCCTCAACTTCTAAAGGACTATTTTAATAGATTCCTTTATCAACCACGCGACAAGGAATATCCAGATCTGTGTCAGCTTCCAGATTTGAATGAGCAAACGCTATTGGATAATCTGAGGGCGAGGTTTCTGGCTGGCAATATATACACTTACGTTGGCAGCATACTGATCGCCCTGAATCCATTCAAATTTTATCCTATCTACAATCCGAAATATGTAAAATTGTATCAAAACAGAAGATTGGGGCCAGATATACCTCCGCATATATTTGCCATAGCCGATGCAGCTTATCATTGTATGCTTAAGGAAAAGAAGAATCAGTGTATCGTTATTAGCGGGGAAAGCGGTTCTGGTAAAACGGAATCAACGAATTTCTTGTTGCATCATTTGACAGCACTCAGTCAAAAGGGTTCGCATGGTAGCGGAGTGGAGCAGACGATACTCAGTGCTGGGCCCGTTCTGGAAGCATTTGGCAATGCGAAAACGGCACACAACAATAACAGCAGTCGTTTTGGCAAATTTATCCAAGTAAATTACAAGGAAAATGGAATGGTCCACGGGTATGTTTTGCAATGCAATAATGCACACTCTAAATATAAAGTGTGAAATAGAGATGACGTTTGAAATGTGTTTTACAGCGCCGTGGTTCAGAAATACCTCCTGGAGAAATCAAGGATTGTCTCTCAAGGACGAAATGAAAGGAATTATCACGTGTTTTATTACCTGTTGGCCGGCGCGAGCGAGCAAGAAAAACAACTGTTACACCTGGAGAGCTGTGATCGGTACAATTACTTAAACAAAAGCGGTTGCTACGGATTGGAGAATATTGACGAACGGCACGAATTCTCGAGATTAAAGCAATCTATGGAAATGGTGGGCTTCACAGCGGAAAAACAAAGGCGGCTCTTCGCTGTTCTGTCAGCAGTCCTTTTGCTAGGTGATTACTGAATCGCCCGTATCGCGTGCGTCACCGAAATAACACTTATTCTCATAATTCAGGTAACGTTGAGTTTCAACCAAGAAAGTCGTATCACCATCACGACGAAGCCGTAGGCGTTAAAAATCCAGAAGTAGTAGCACTGATATCGGAACTTCTGCGAGTCAAGCAAGAAACTTTGTTGGCTGCGCTCACTGCTAAGCGTGCAAGAGCTTCTGGAGAGACTTTAGTTATTAACTACAGACTTCCCGAAGCGATTGCGGCACGTGATGCCATGGCGAAGTGTTTGTACGGAGCCCTATTTGACTGGATCGTGTTACAGGTAATAGAAATGCCCTCATTTGCGGAAATCAATATAGTTATTAGCTGCACAGTACATCAAGTAAACGATATCGCTTTTATCAGGTGAACCACGCACTGCTTTCCAAAAAAGATACCCTGAGAGATCATCAAGGCAATAGTATAGGTGTATTAGATATATTTGGCTTTGAGGATTTCAAGACGTGCAACAGTTTCGAGCAACTATGCATCAATTATGCGAATGAACAGCTACAGCATTACTTTAATCAACACGTTTTCCAATACGAGCAACGAGAATATAGAAAGCAAGGAATTAGATGGACAGACATAGGATACAGTGACAACTCCGGTTGTCTCAATCTCATCGAAGGAAAACCCAACGGGCTCTTGTGTCTCCTCGACGATCAATGCAAGTTAGTATTGTCTTGAATATTTCTCAATTTTAAGACCATATACGTTTCGAATATTTCCGAATATTATTTTGCAGCTTTCCTGGCGCGACAAACGAGACGTTGCTACAGAAATTTAACACTGTGCACAAAGAGAATCTATTCTACGAGGCGCCGCAGCGCCGAGAAGCGGCTTTTGTTGTACGTCATTATGCCGGCTCAGTTAAATATCAAGCTTCTAATATGAGAGAAAAGAATCTAGACTTAATGCGGCCCGACGGCGTAGTCGGGGTACTAAAAAATTCTTCCCTTGCCTTTGTGCGGGAGTTGGTCGGCGCTGACCCGGTCGCCGTATTCAGATGGGCCATATTACGGGCCTTCTTTCGCGCTCATTTTGCGTTTCAAGAAGCCGGTCGAGCGCACAGGCACGGTAGAGGTGTGTATTGGAATGCGATATAATGGCGATTAAACGCGCCGATGCAAAAAATTAATGAAAATGTATGTGTTTTTTTTCTTTTTTCTTTCAGTTGATGGAAACAAGACATCAGTGCAAAACAGATACAGGACACCCAACGAGAATTTGATAAGGTAACGCTTAAATTTTTTTAACTTGCTAATCTAATAATATTTTTATACATAGGAACAGTCAGAAAAAAAACAGTATTAAATGCTTTCTGTAACCTATAACACAGAGCAAGATATATTAGTATTAATTGAGAATTGTAAGAGGAAAGTGCTGATGTTGTTACGCTTGTCTTTTGAGTATGTTTGATCTGTATATTGTCTCATCTACGGAGTATGAATCTACGTTGTGCGTCAATAATACATGCATCACGCTGACGAAAGTTTTGGTGTTTTATAAACTAAGGCAAATCTTTATTATATTTATATTGGCCATATGTCTTTTGTCCCTTTGTAGCCATCTTGTGACGTTGTCGGCCGTCAATCTAACTATTAACCGAATTGCGTAAGTGGTCTTTTGATCCACTGTATGTGTAATTTTGGCAATTACATTTTGTTAATGCGTCCCATGGATTTACAACAAATTCTATACTAATATATATATATTTATATATATATATATATATATATATATATATATATATATATATATATATATTAATGACCTCAGCGAAATTATTTTGCGGAATATCTAACTGAGTCAATTTGTAAATCCATATATTTTTGCTCCAATTCTGTGTGTCTCTACAGGTTTTATTTAGATTTATGTTTGCACTTCTCTTGTATTAGTCGTTACTAGAATGCAATTTTCATGACATTCGCCATACCAATTACATTCTACCATTTTGATGCTCCTCTTGCTACTGTACTTGAGCATGATTCATGACGCAAAACTTAGTTCCTTTTTATACAGTTTTATACAGTTCATGTCGATCATCTCAGTTTTTCTCCTTTTATATTTAAATCATTCATCAATGAGACATTCCTTGAGAAAATCATATGTAAAGCTCGGGTACAAGCGGCCGAAAAAAGCACATTAAAAATAAGAACTGTCTTGTAAACGTAAACTTAGTCAAATTAATCATAAGGAATATTCGTCGGTCGACGAAACAAAACTAAGGATCAGAGAATTTTTCAGTTCGCACAAACATACTCGTCCGCCAAGTTATCAGAAGCAGCGCAGTGTGTGTTTATCACCGGCCACTACTCCTCCTGCCACATTATCTTCCATACAAATCGAAAACAACGACAATATAAACAACAATCGCCTATCGTGGCCACAGTTTAGAAACATTAATCAGACGCAACACCCGTCAAACGCTACATCGGCGAAGGGCGGTTACATAGCACGGGGCAGGGAAGACCAGCCCCATAGTAATAATAAATTCAGACGAGATACTCACACACCGCTAGAGAGGGTGCTTCCAAAAGACGAAGCAAACGTCATGGAACGCGCTAATCAAATTGTCATGTATGTAAAAAACGTATCTATTAGATACTCAATTAAGAATTTAATTTAAGCTACAGAAAACTACTGTCGCACCACAAGCCAAGATTAGTATACGCTCTATAGCAATTCCGGGTTGGTAATGGGTTTCCTTTCTGTAGGTAATAGCATTTTTGTAGGCCATTAATATATGCAAAACTGTACCGTGGCTTTATTCATTTTTCTTAATTTCTCAGTGACATTCCACATGCATCTCTGACGATTAGAAAACCTCGCATTATCATAGAATCATTTGTCATTAGATCTAGTTTATTGTCCGTCAATTTTGCAGTTGTTCCCGATATGTCATTTGATAATAGTTGCTGCATGCTGAGTGTTTTGCAAGTTTCTTGAAAAAGTTTCATTGTTTTTTACAACAAAATGCATACTAGGTGCGCAACTAAGTTTCCGGGTTTTTTTATCAATGCAAAATGGAAAATTTCAAGAGAAATACAAAAAACGGTTTATTACAAAATATCGTCCCTCGCTAGCTACACATTTTTGCCATCTCTCTGGCAATACATGAATACCGCGACGATAAAACGACGCGTCTTTGAATCGAAACCATTCATCCAACCAATTCTGCACTTCTTCGAAATTGGCCAAGTGTAGCCCAGCCAAGCCATGCGCCATCGACCGGAACAAGTGATAATCGGAAGGGGCCAGGTCTGGTGAATACAGCGGGTGCGGTAGCAGATCCCATTTCAGCGTTTTGATGGTGTCCTGGACGATGGAAGTGCGATGGCACGGAGCGTTGTCGTGCTGCAATATTACTCGTTCGTGTCTCGTGTCCCATTCTGGCCGTTTTTCGAGCAATGCATGGTTCAAATTTATCAGTTGTTGTTGTCTTGTGTTTGCGTATCATTTTCATCCAATAACGCTTGCAGATCGGCGTCCTCAAATGTTTTTGGTCTTCCGGAGCGCTCCTTGTCCTCAGTGTCGAAATCGCCACTTCTGAAGCGTTTAAACCAATCTTTACAGGTAGTTTTCGATGGTGCATGTTTGCCGTAGGCTTTCTTAAGCAAACGACCTGCTTCAGCTGCATTTTCTTTCAAGTTGAAGCAGAAAAGCAAAGCTTCCCGCAAATGCTGTTTAGTTGGCACAAAACTCGACATCTTTATTGTTAGAAAAAAAATTTTTGCGTTGCGATATGTGTTGGTATTATAACTGGTTATTGTTGACAGATGTCCAAGTTAATAAAAAAACACAACTTTAGACATGTATATCGACTACATGTATCGTTAGCGCCATTCATGTGTGAAACCCGGAAACTTAGTTGCGCACCTAGTATATCTAACTTAGAGTACATGCTGTGATTATTGTTATAACCATGAGTAATTTGTATAGTACAAGATATAGTGCAACGCGCTAGCAAAACAAATTCATTTTCTTATCATAAATTAATCAGATTTTGCATTGATATTTTATTTATGCCATTATCGTAACATTATCTATCGGACATTTCTTATAATGCTGAAATAATAGGTACTACTATACTTAAGCTTCTTATGTTTCTCACTATAACTACTGACTCTCTTCTCTGTGTATATTATACTCCGCCAATTTTCTATTATCTTACTTTTATATTATGTATTTAATAGATATATATAATTTTAACGCAAAACACTACTGGTTGAAATGTGACTAGAGTGTAGCTCCTTCTCCTGGATATATAGAATTATTATTATAGAATATCAAGTGTGTTGTATGTGATTTTCACATACTGATAATAAAGATACGGTAACGGGAGGAGGGGCAAGAAAACGCTGAATTGTTGCGAATTTTAGCATGGGAATGTTTACAGGAAAAATAAATCATTCCGGCCAAGGGAACGCGGCAAGAAAGGTCTGAAAAATCTGCAAACCGTGAAGACACTGGCTGGAAGAACCCAGAGTTACGGCACTGGGCCGGGGAAGGCCAGAAAACAACCTATGACCGTGTCTGCGCAATTTCAACAGAGTCTGCACAGTCTGATGGACACTCTGAACCAGGCTAATCCCTTCTTTATTAGGTGCATTAAGAGTAACGCCAATAAAGTACCAAATGAATTCGACGAGGAAACTGTGCAGAGGCAGCTTCGTTACACGGGAATGTTGGAAACTGTCAGGATAAGGCAGGCTGGCTTTAACGTGCGATTGACGTATGAGGAATTTATACAGCTCTATCGAATGCTATTGCCCAAGGGTCTTCTGAGCTCGCAGTCCGACGTGAGGGACTTTCTGCTGACGCTCAATCTTAACAGGGACAATTATCAGCTGGGCACCACCAAGGTCTTTCTCAGAGAGTCCGAAAAAATCAAACTGGATATCGAGCTCCATCAGCAAATCATAACGAGCATCACCACCATACAGAAATGGTTCCGCGCTTGTCTGGAGAGGAGAAAATTCCTGAGACTGAAGAACGCGGTTGTGCAAATACAGTCCTTCTGGAGAATGGTGAACGCGCAGCGACTGGCTCAAGTTCTTCGTACGAGAACCGAAGCCGCGCTGCATATACAAACTGCTTGGAGGATGTACAAGCAACACAGCTGGTACAAAAAGTTGAAATCGTCTGTGATTATCTTCCAGGCGTACGTCAGAGGCAATATCGCGAGAAAGAAATTTGATGAATTGAAAAAGCGGAAAAAACCTTTGCCGGATAAAGTTCAGGAAGTCAAGGAAACTCCGGAATACAAGGAGCTTATATATGATAAAATATGCGCCAAAGATCGGGACAGTGAAGAGTAAGTGTTACTCATACGTTTATATATCGTAACGTGACGTAATTGTTTTTTTAACAATTTTATTTTAATACACAGGTTGTTCACGGAAGATCGGAGTCTAACGGAATACGGCGTATCGCCTCTAAAAATAGAATCTCAAAATCGGGTCACGCCAGTAAGGTAGGTATCAAAAAAAAGTTTCATTTCACAATCGGAGCATTTGCGAGAGTTATCGATTTTTTCGCAGGAGCGATAACGCGCATCGGGACAACGCTGTGGACATAAGCATCCCGTATTCCAGACGAAAGCTCACACTCAACAAGCGAATTTTGCACGATGCGACGTTGAAGAACACAGAAACGTATCATCCCGACGAGATCGCGGAGCGCAAAAGTAGCCTCGAAAGTTTAACGAGTCTGAGGAGTTACGAATCTCAAGCTAGCGTCAATAGTTCGGAGTCGCAGGACAATTCCGTCTCGAAACCCGTCCCGAGCACAAGAACGAAGCGCACCGATCATTCGCCTGTGATCATGCCGAATGTAAACCTGATGAACGCGTCCAGCCGACTGTCCTCGGTGAGCCGGAGAACCGACAGCTCGTCGACGGGATATAGTGACGGTGAGACGGAAGGCGAGTCGCCGAGTGCCGTGCAAAGTGCACCGCCTGTTTTCAACACGAGTCCGCCGTACGTCGGTTCGCGCGACATCAAGTATCACACCACCAACGTAAACTTGACGCACAGTCCGAATTCGGACATCTGGCGTCGTAGAGCAGACTACTCGCCCGCTAATTACAGCGATTACTTTATGTCGGTACCTCAAAAAGCGACCGTCACTCGTTCGCCGAACGTTTCCCACTACAAGCATGTGCCGGATAGCGTTTTCGAACAAAATCAACAAGAGATGCCTAACGAAGCGTCGAACTATAATGTGAAACTTGACGCCAGTAATCGCTTTGCTCAGATGGAAAGTTTGACAAGCCGACAGCAACGTAGGCGTAGCGATAACAGCGTACCTGATGAACGCTTGGAGAATGTTCCGATATCGCCGGCGAAGCGAGAGCACGGACTTATCAAGAATGTGAAAGATCTCAGTTATTTACGGCGACAAAATTCAGAAGGAGATACTAGGATAAAAATCGTAGATGATAATGTTATGAAAAGCACAGTATTGAGAGGTCCGTCTCCGAAGGATAAGAATTCACGATCGAAAGAAAAATACGAGCCGGACGTGCCGGTGAGGAGCGCTAGACGAAACAGGCCATCGAGGGAGGTCCAATGTCGATCAATGGGCGAAAGCGGAGTCGAGACGAACGCCGAAACGCGAAATCTGCTTCTCGGCACGATTAAGGAAAGCGATTTAAATAAGACGACGAACGTATGGTCGCGAAAAGATTATCCGCACGAAACTACTTCTCGATCCGTCACGGATTGGCCCATGAACAAGAATGAAGCTACGCATAAGGGGCAGCAGGCCGGTAAACGCATGAGATCCAACGCGATAACGAGCCTGGAGCTGCGAAGAAGAAACTCCGATCCAGCCACGAAGATCTCGGGCCTGAATGAGGATAAAATCGGAACAGATACCAGTCCAAACGATCTCAAACTTGCGCCCGGCATGAATCTTCTCGAGTGGAAGGGCAACAATTTATTCACCTTGGCCGGCCATCGTTTCCGAAAAGTGGCGAGATTCGCGAAGGACGACGTCTGCGTGTGTTGTCACGAGAAGATGGACGCGTTCGTGACGCAGGGCTACAAATGTGTCGATTGCAAGCAGCTATATCACGTGAAATGCATACAAAACGGCGGAGTATTGAAGATGCCCTGCTTATTAGCTAACACACCGAGCAGACGGAAAAATCGAAAACCACCGCGCACGCCGTATGACACTGCGAAGCAGACGGTCGCGTCCAAGTTTAGTCTGACCGGCACTTCGGCCTTCTCCGACAGCACAGACAAGATCATTTCCGACGCTAAGGAGTTGGCACTGATGCAAGATTTTATCACCAAGAAAATTTACGTAATGGAGGGTCAGGGAGAAGGACGGAAGCCTAGCGAGGTGGACCGCGTTTTTAAGCAGGCTCTCAGGAAATTTAAAGACGATCTGGTGATCACGTATAGTGTCGCCATACAGCAAGGCGTGGAGGGCAACATCAAATACACCGATCTGATCGCCAATTTTCTTCACGTCATGGAAACCGTATGCAAGCAAGAGAATACGAGGGAGGACTTCCCCGTGACAATGGGCGTGAATGCATTCAGAGGTTTTATGAATGAATTCATGACGATTGTTAGAACCGAAGCTCCTGAAAAACAAAGCAAGAGCAAGCGGAAGAAGGAGAAGAAACGAAAGCAGGAAGAGCCCATACGACACGGCAATCACACGTTCCAGTTGACGATCATCAACATACCCACCGCTTGCGAGGTCTGCACGTCTTTCTTCATGTGGCCCATCGAGCGAGGACTGGTTTGTCAGAGTAAGTAATTTGCTCGAACTTGCGATAAACTCGTTACACTTGTTTTGTCGGCGATCACAATTTGTAATAAATATATCCTGCTTTCAGATTGCAAATTGACGTGTCACAAGAAGTGCTACACGAAAGCAGCGGCGGACTGTGGCAAAGACGGTGCGTCGTCCGAAATAAACTCGCGCAAGGTGTTCGGTGTACCGCTGTACAAGCTCGATTGCGGCGATGGCAAGGTACCGCTCGTGGTGGATCGACTGATCACCACGATCGAAATGCACGGTCTTTACACCGAGGGTATATATAGGAAGAGCGGTGTTAGTTCCAAAGTGCGGGAGCTCAAGGTGAAGATGGACGAGGGCGATTTGGAGAGGGTAGATTTCGAGAACTATCAAGTGCACGTTCTAGCGGCGGTACTGAAGAGCTTCTTCAGGGACATGCCGGAGCCGCTGCTGACTTACGAATATTACGATGACTTCTTGCACGCGGCGAATTTGACAGATCCGCACGACCGAATCAGCACGCTCTTTGCCATACTAAAGAAATTACCGAAACCGAATTACGATCTGATGGAACGCTTGATCGTTCATCTGGCGCGAGTGGCGCGACACGAGGTGGATAACAGAATGTCGCCGTCAGCTCTGGCGATCGTTTTCGCGCCGTGCATCCTCAGAACGAATAGGACGCTGCCCGCGCAGGACTCTCTTCAAGACGTGGGCAGGCAGACGCGTTGCGTCGAGACAATCGTGCAAGAGAAACTAAGAGTCGTTAGAGCAACGCTAGCGGACATAAATACTCTCGAATCCGCCTGTCACACGGCGACTCATCGACTCTCCAGTTTACGATCGTCCAAGATCTTCAGTCCGGAGGAGTTAAATGTGGCCGCTGCGAGCGCTGCGGGACGGGCGGGCGGAATGGATCGTGACAGAGATCGAGGAGACGAGGAAGAGGCGCTCCTCGTCGATCACATACAAGAGATCCAAAAAGAGAAGGCCCTGTTAACGTCTACTCTGCCTAGCCTAACAAGAGCTTCCTCGGACGATGATCTACTCTTATCGGCTACGGATCTGGACGATGGCTCCCTTGACGACCTTCTTCCCTCTGCGGGTAGGTATTTTTTTAACAGCTGGTTTAAATGTGCTAATTAAGCAACGCAAGGAATAATTTCGCTATCTATTCTGGCAAAAATTCGTTAAAAAATCATTTGCTTAATTTAATTATATTGAACGATATCTTAAATATCTTTGATTCGGCATGAAAAAGTTCGCGGATACTGAAAAAGTTAAGTAAGATCTAAGATTTTTTGAAAAGACTCCTCTTTTATTGATTACAGACGGACTCGTAAGGAAAAAGCCCGTCCAAAGGCAAACTTCGTCAGACAATTCGTTTCCAACGATCATCAATATGGACGACGACATGGTAATGGTATGAACATCAGCTGCGAATAACTTTACGCACTCTCTTAAACGATCACATTAATTCAACAGATAAGTACGATGTGTCGTGTTAGGGCGGCGAAGCAACGATTTGAATCGTTGCTTCTGTCAGCGAATTATTAGTATTTTGAGATTTCTTAGAACGCAATTATAGATAGTTCTCGTAATTTGTTGACTCCGTAAAAAAAATTTAAATGTGCGACTGAAATAATTTCATCTTTCTGTTGAAGCCAATAGAGATATTACAACACTATTTCATATAGTGTACGATAGGAGAGAACTGCACAACTTTTAATTTTGCCACGTCATTTTATTCTCAATGCATTCCTCTTTTTGAAGACTGTCAAAGTATTTAGGCGCAAAACGTTTCGTTCATCTATATAGATCCTAAAAGAAATGTTATTCGATGCGCCGCTTTACACATTTTAAATGTAAGAAATAAAAACACAAAACTAGAAAGTATTTAAAAAAAAAAGTGTACTGCTCTATATATATATATTTTAAGAAAATTCTGCTTGTCAAAGTGATGAGGGAGTCATATCGAATTACTTGTTTTATAAATTTTACGTTCATAAAAATGTAATTTATTGTTGCACCGTGTTGCAATTCTCGGTAAACTTTTTTTTTTACAGAGAATCTTTCTAACATATTCGTGTGTAGATGCGCTGTTCCTTTAGAACTATTCGTTTAGCATTAGTAGATCTGCTACTTGAAAAAAAAAATCATCTCTTCCCAAAGGATCTACTTGTCACGTTCGAGTAGGATCGATAATCGACTGCCTTAAATTCCTGCGAGATAATTTTATTGTATTGCGTTATGATATCCGACGATACGATAGTCGATTGAAAGCGATTAGGTTTAGACGCAGGAGTTTGAGGGACGGCCAAGAGAAAGAGGAAACCAAAACGTAGTTTGTATATATTATGCATTTAACAATTTCATAATAATCTGTTATTATTGTTAAATTTACGAGAGACGATTTAGGGAGAATCGACAATGCGAAAGAAAAGGGGTGAAAGAGATTTCGATCTCGCGTAATAGAAGTCTCTATCCAATAAGGATAATCAGATCAGGTCCCCACTTACGTATCGCGAACTTAATTGAATTCCCCTGCGAATTAATAGTTACGCTTGATGATGATCCGAGATAGAATTGGTCAGTGAATTGAATCCGTCTCTTTTATTTCTTTTCCCGGGCACTGAGTTGGTAACCGAATATAACGATATTTTCAACTACAGTTGGGATACAATAGATGGAAAATGTATCATTACGGGCACGAGGTTGACCTACATAGATCCTTTATTCATTATTTCTGATGTATCATGTTACTGTAGAGCACATACATCATACATTTTGTTGCGTCCAATCACCAAAGACTCGTGCGCAGTTATTTTTTCATTCTTATATTTTTTTATGTCAATCCAATATTTTTTTACCTCGCGTACGTTACCCGCTTTTTAATATTGAAGCGTCCTATATTTTTAATTGCCTCCGTGTATACTTTGCAAGAATGGAATTTATATTTCCGTCCTTTTTCTCGAGTAGATCGATAGATACGTTTGCGCGGCAGGTGAATATTTTAAGTTTCGTATATCGGCAATCGATGGTGAGGCAAAAACTTCCTTTTCCGTTCAATTAAATCCCGTCTTTGAGTACTGGACCACGCGCGACTTTTATCCGGATAACTTTTAGGATTAAGTCAAATAATAAAGAAAAAAAATATAGAAAAGTGGGAAAAAAGACAAAAGAAAAAAAGAAAATTGTTCGTTCTTCCAGAGAGTCTTTTCTTTCTCAGCTCGCGGAGTCCATCCCCGCGTTTTACATTCGTTTTTAAGAATAATCGGCTCGGCGATGACGAGTATCCAAAACGATTATCACGTCACATCTCGCGATCTTCGATCGTTTTAGACGTTTCTAAGGAAGCGAGACGAGACTTGAAATTGCCTTTTTACAATTCGATAAGTTTTACGAGATGTAGCTAAGGTGAATCGTTATGAAATCGTCTTCACTTTGCGTGGGAAGGGGAAAAGGGGAGGGAGGGTGGGTGGGGAAGGGGAGGATAAGTCGTAGTGTTATGTAAATGTAATGTTACCTTTCTCATCTAAAGCCATGACATTGTGCTCTCGCGGTACATAAACGCTATGACTTCGAGGCGAAACGATCTTTTTAACGTGGAAAAATTTCATATATACTAGAAGATATATATATATTTTCGTTACGTCCACCGAGTGGGAGTTCCAGTGTGTGTCGTCCGTTCGTATGTTAAATCCGCGAGTGTTAAACCGCGCTGGTTTCGTCCGTCGTATATGTTTTGAGAGAATCTTTTACGCAACTGTTTCGTCGTTTCGTTGACTTGTTTGTTTCCCGACGCAATGCGGTCAACTCGAAGATTGATTTCGCTGTTTTTTTTTTGTTTTTTTTGTTTTTTTTTTTCCCCCGGCTAGTCTGTTGTTACTATACGATGTCGCAAATATATCGAATTGTTGATTTATTTCTCGTCTGTGTCACGTGTGAATAATAATCTGAGTAATCTGAGTAATCTGAGTCTATATTCTTCGAGAATTTTATTAGGGTGAAAAAGCGCGCAACGGTTGTAATAATATTAGAAAGTCGGCGACTATTACTTCGGCGCGGCAGAACTGGGTTAATCGTAAGATTAAAAAGAAAAGGATAAACTAATTATCGTTGTACATGTAAAAGTATCATCTATACGCAAACGCATACGCTTCTCTTTACTGGAAGGTGCTTCGGCGACTCGTTAGCGGGTACTCAAGCGAGCGAGAACCGAACCGGACCGATCGCGAAAGGAGGAATTTCCTCGAACGTCCCTTATTCGCGGAGCGAAAATCTCGAACGGCTGTAGAACAATAAAAGTCTGCAATAAATCCGCAATCCTCTTTCCCCGCAGAGGGCAATCAAGGTTTCCACAGCGTGTCTAATTAGAAGTAATTAAGAGCATAAAATATATCTACTCTCTCCGCCCGCGAATATCTCCTCGTTCGAGATTTTCGCGCGTATCTCGTCCGACGAAAGGGCGTTACGGGAGAGCAAGTCGGTTGTAATATCGTAAGGTCAGTGCGCGCAACAATTCTTCATGACAATATCGTTCCGCAGAAAGAAAGTCGCAATTCCGATATCCCGATAGCAGCTGCTGCAACGACGACGGTGATTCTCGCTCTTTTCTCTCCGCTAGACGCTCGGTCGTCTCTCTTGCGGTCCGCGCTGCTTCTCGCCTCGGTGTTCTCTTTTTCTTTTCCCGTCGTGCGAATCACGCGCGTCGGTGAAGCAGCTCGAGCTATGAACGACTTCTGCGTGGATCCCTCGGCCACGGGAATTGAGGTAGCAGCGAGCGCGTGTCGTGTCGTGTTGCGAATGTGGGAGAAACCGAACGGTGGGTGGTATCGGTTGCTGTACTACTCGGCTGAATTTTCGAAATACGCTTATTATAAATATAGGTAAAATATACGCTCGCTGCTGCGCATGGCATGAGCGTTGTGTGCGTGTGGCTGCGGTGAGTGTGTGTCCGACTCGTGTCCGATTCCCGTGTACGCCGACGAGTAACCGCGCCGATCTCTCCCCGTCCGAGACATTTCGCCGACGAACATATTTTCACTCTAAGTCTCGCTCTTTGCGATCGTTAGTAAGCGCGTCGCGGAATCTCGGAGCGAGAGGTCGGTCTCTCTCTCAGGGTCGACGCAGGTTTCTTAGGAAACAAAATGCAAGCAAAAGAAAAACAATCAAACAATAGACAGGAGAGAGACGAGAGAGACAACCGGAAGGGATAGTCTACTTCTCGGTGATCGTTGAGATATCGCGATATTAATGCTCTTCCCGTTTGTATCTTGTCGTAAATCATAAGTGCGACAGTGAGCAGGACGTCTGCCGATCCCTCGAATCATCGATATCGTTCTATAGAATATTTTATAAAATATATATATACATATATATATATATATTTTCTTGTATATATTTTGTGCTTATGAAAAATCCACTGCATTATATATATATATATATATAATCGAAAATATCTTACGTTTTATATATATTATATATATTAAAACGTAAGATATTTTCGATTAACGCGTGTAAAGTTAACTTAAAATTAAATTAAAATTGTTTAGAGGCGCAGCGGCGAGGTATGGACATCCTGCTCCTTATATTCATCTATGTGTAGCAGTGTGCCCGACAAAAAGGGTTTAGCAACAGTACTCTAATTCTTGTACGAACGAGTCTTCCTTAGCGAAAATTTCATCGTGTTTCATCATTGTCCGTTATAATTATTCATTTTCGATTTATTATAATTCGCAGGTTCTTAGTGTTGAATATTTCAGCACGATCGGATTTCGGACTTTAATTTCCGCTAAGGAAACGTCGAATGCGACTCGCTTGCAGAGTAACATCTACGCAGTCCTCTCGAAATAATCTGTATACATACATTTATTTTTCTTCGAATGAACGCGTGTACGTGAGAAAGAGATATATGTATATGAATCCGTGAATAATGCATATAAAGAAAATATATACATATAAATACAAAGTTATATATGTCTATGCATGTATGTGTATTACATTGTGTGTGTATGTGTGAGTGTGAGTGAGTGTGTGCGTATGCATATCGTAGGCATTTGCAGAAATGGTCGACGAACGTCAGCGTCGTTTCCCGCACGACGGCACGCCTCGATCGAGAAACGATGCGAATCACATGCACGATGGAGATTATAGACTTTTACTCACGCAGCGGCGGAACAATTTCGAGAGAGAAAGAGAGATACACACATGAGACACGATAACGAAATGTGCGCGAGGATGAAGAGAGAGCGAAATATATTCACTTCTTCGGTTTGTCGTAGCTCAAACAATCTTTACTCTCTCGCTCCGTTCTTCCGCTTCACTACACTCGCGATTTTTCACCCTGCATTCCTTTTCTCGCTTTACCAATGGCGATGCGTTATGATTCGAGGATCGGGATTCACGCGCGGCAAACGTCGATCGATCCTATGTTGATCTATCGAAGATAGAGCCGAAATTGACATCGAATTTTTCTCGTCGAATATGTCGCTTGCAGCCCACCCGACCCTTTCAATTCCATCTCTCTTCGCTTTTTTTTCCTCTCTTTTTTTTTTTACGTGCGTTCGCACCCTAATAACCGAGAATCACCGTGGGCGAGATACCGTGAAATGGATCGAGGTGTAGGGCGGGTTCGACGGGAATCCCGGTGGGAGCGATAGAAGCGGTTTACGAAGCGTAACACTTACCTCTTCTTTTTCATCCCGAAACATCGATGCGATGTCGCGGGATCGCCGCGGGTCACGCGTACGCGATCGCGCGTAATTATTCGGAAATTGATACTTCAGGATCAATCGATGGTACGTACGAGCGACCCTTTTTCATCTTCGCGTGTCTACGGGAATAATAATTTCCGCGAGGAACAAAGGACACTGCTTCCCGCGCTTCTTCCTTCGATTGTCGGGGAAATACGCGCGGCGAAGGATCGTCGGCAGGCGTTTGACTCGGACATGCTTGAAGATGAAGATGGAATCGCGTTTGTGCAAATGGCGGTGACCGTTTTGCGATGAAAAGCTTTATAACTGATCGTTAGGGCAAAGAGAGAAGGCAGGAAGAAAAGGGAGGAGCAAAGAAGGAGGAAGAAGAGGAGGATCGAGCCCTATATCCTCTCGCTTCCTTTTTCGCGCGGCGAAGGAAGGCGATCGATTTCCGGTTTCCACCGGACGACGTGTATCGATCGTTTTCGATTCGGCACACAAGCGACAAGCGTCTACAGATCAAAACTAGACGGAGATTAAGAAAAAAGTGTCGAGAACGCGCGCCTTCTTCGGCGCGCGAGCGCAGCACCGTTAACCCGAGTACGCGCGCGCGCGCGCTCTTTTTACGTCCTTTATTTTTCGAGTTCGAGGATTTACCGATTTAGTCCGCAAGTCTGTCTGTCTGTCTGTCTGTCTGTCTGTCTGCGCAGCGTTTTACTTGTATGCTTGTCGAATGCGTAAATGTGTCTCCGAGTGTGTACTCGCGCCAGTGGCGGGCAAGGTTCGTGTATTGTTGGCGTGGGAGTGACGGTGAGCGTGGTTACTTCTCCGTGATCGACTGTAATTTTATATAATATTTGTAAGACAAATGAAATATTATGTACAGCATACCTGACACAGTAAATAAAAAAATAAGTATCTACCTTATATCTCTACGAATCGCCTCTTGTTTTTCTCTTTCTTCCTTTCGATGCCCCCGAATCGGAACGAACGGATCGCCCATGCGGAATCGACTGCGCGCGGTATAATTCAATTCATCACGCATATTATCGTTATGACGCTAATCTTTATTGTACCGATATCATCGGAATCAAAGCACTCGTAATACGCGCTTTAGGGGGAAACTGCAGGACATTCAGCACGCCGTACTCGTTATTATCGAGCCCGCTATTAAGCTAACGCATATCATATAATCTAATTAGAATTTCCATCAAATAGCGATTGTGAATTAGCGCGGATAAATTACCCACTGTGATCGACCCCGATGATACTCTCATTGCCTAATTAGATGCCGCTTGCGCATATTCGTTGACGTCTATTGAAATCGGTACATTCGTGTAATCGGTAATTTTGAGCCGCAACAACAATTATATTATATTTGCGATGCTTCTCGCGACACGATAAACAACTTGTTTTTCACACTTGTGCAATCGATTGCATGTGCAAGAAATTATTGAGAGAATCCACGTTTATTTCTGGTCTTATAATCTTCTGACAAAACCGAAAATATCATTTATCTCGAATTGAGAAACGCGTGCAAATTAATGGGACCAATTAAGAATCGACTTAATTAATAAGTTCTTAAATCATTTTCTTTTCTTCTCAGCGGCACCATTTATGTCTACCGACGATTCTTCCCACCCAATTAAGGACGTCGTTTCCTCAGATTTCCGAGGGAAAGCTTGCGGCCGAGGAATGGAAGAAATTCTGTGCGAGCGGCGCTGGTCCAGAACCAAAATCCCTCGCAACGACAGGACGAACGG